GGAATGGGTGCCCCTGGATTCTGCTCTTAGTCCTGATGTCAGGGGTCTATGCAGGTCCAGGTGCGTGGAGAAAACGAGCATGTTCTAGGTTTTCCCTCATCTAGCAAGCAGCGATGATCCTTCACCTTCGCAGGACTGCCTAGCAAATTAAGTAAGAAATGGTTGTATCAGGGTTCTCCAGGGAAGCAGAACCCATAGGATAAATGGAGATAGAGACAGACAGACAGAGACAGGTGCATTATAAGAAACTTGCTCATGCCATTGCGTAAGCTGGCAAGTCCCAAGATCTTCAGGGTAAGGAGGCCAGAGAGACCCTCAAGGGAGCCAGGGGTATATTTCCAGTCCAGCTCTGAAGGCCTGAGGTCCAGGACAGCCAGCCGTGAAGTTCTAACCCAAGGCCAGGAGGCTCCACACCCCAGAAGAGCTGACATTTCGGTTCAAGCCCAAGCAGGGGAAAGCCAGTGTCCCAGCTCAATGGGACAGGCAAGAGAAGCATCCCTTACTCAAGGGAGAGTCAGTCTTTTTGTTCTATCCGGGCCTTCGACTGACCGGATGAGGTCCCCACACACTGCAAGGAGGGGGGACCTGCTTTACCCAGTCTACCAATGTAAGTGTTATTCTCCTCCCCAAACACTCTCCACGAAAACACTCCGAATAACGTTGGACCAAATATCTGGGCAGACAAGTTGATACATAAAATGAACCATCACGGCGGAGTAGGAGGCAGCAGCATGTACTGGAAAGAGCACCATTTCTGGATCTCAGCAGCCCAAGGTAAAGGCGTGGCTGTCACTGACTAGTTGGGTCATGTGTAGGTCACTCTGTCTCTCTGGGGCTGCCTCAGTGGCCTCTTTGGGGAGATGAGGATAACAAAAGTCAGCATATGTAAATATGTGACATACAGGCACCAAAGCCTTCGTTGTTTCAAATGCGAAAAGTACTTTTTTAAGGTTCAGTGTGTCCTTTGCATTAAGGGTACATTGTTATTTAAGGTAAAAGAGACACCAGACATGGAAAATAGAGGCGTGAATATCCAGAAAGAAAAACAAAGGACCAGGAACGACAGTGACCCATCGGCAAGTCCTTACTCTTCGATTAGAGTAGACCAAGAGCCCAGGGGTTTGGAGAGGCATAATGACTACCCGCCTGTGGGGTTCCTCTTCTTTAAGGAAATGTCTCCTCTATTTCCCCAGGAGGTCTGTGGACCCATATTTACCTTGGAACCTAATGGTGCGGCGGCTGTGGTCTTTGCTGAGTATGGACATGTTTCACATTATATGCATGAGAGTTGGATGGTCACGAAACCTAATATATTTGGGGCCTGATACCATCATCCACCATAAAAGCCAAATATTTTCCCATCTAGAAGTCAAGTTGGGAAAAGCTCTCTCGCAGTGGGTTGGGGTTTTAAAGACACGGTTATGGCTGCAAAGATGGTCTGCTCGTCCAGATAAGACCGGAGCCAACCTGACACCTCATTGCAGCCTGGCCCTCTTCCAAGGCTCTGTTATGCATGTGGGTGGTGTTAACTGCGTCCTTCTGGCAGCTGAGAGGACCAAGAGAACAGCCTAATGGTTAGAGTAAACCTAGCTGGGACAGCAAGAAATGTGGTGGCTGGACTGGCCAGATAAGACTGTGGGGGGCCAGCGGGATGGTGCTTCCTGAGTGTGAGATATTTGGGGTTTGGCAAACCCAAAGAAGCTGATTGCCAAGCCCCATTGCCCCTCGTTCCCTTGGTGTATTTCAAAGGAAATTAAATCCACATGTTTCTGATTTGCTGACACTTAAAGCTCATCCAGAGGTGGTTTTGCAAGAGTGGTTTGGACACAAGAAGGCTAGAAAAACTTTAATGATTATTGTTATTTTTCATTTTGAAATGCAGACCTGTACGCTTACATAATGAATGCCATGCCTACAAAACCAGAGCCCAGTGTTGCCTGACCAAAACTTGTCCTGGGCCCACCAGAGACAGATAATTAAAGTCAATTCGAGAAGACAAACATCCAACCTAGAAATCCATCTTGCAAATGGCACTGTTAATGGCCCCTTCTGATTGGGTAGCACCTAAGAACCCCCAAACCTAGAGTTCAAAGCCCTCTGCACAGTATGGATTGAGTCTACTTATTTCATTATTCCCTCAGACTCTGGCCAAGGAGATAGAAAGCTAAATCCAAGATGGCATCATCTCGGTAGGTCCCAAGAATCAAGGCCCGAGGATGTGGGGCATTGGCACCTCCAAGGCAAGAAGGCATCACAAAGGTTTTCTGTAGAATGTTCTGAAATGTCTTGCCAGGTCCCTAAATGAAACCTAGACAAGGAGAAACCCAAATTCTGCTTCAGGGAAATAAAATCACATTAAACACTTAGAAAGAATCAGTGCTTCTGGACAGAACATGTGATCTCTCCGAGTCTAGTCACATGAAAACTATTGGCCAGAAAGCTCAGGGACCAATGGGTCCCCTTCTTCTGAACCAAGGATAAACACTTTCGGTTTCTCCTATCCCCTCCATAGCCACTGCATATAGCTTTTCCTCAAGATTCACCTCAGAGGAATTCTCCAGACAGAAGAGGTGGCTTTGTTCCCTCTGGCTGTTCCCATCTGTTTTCCCAGCCCTGGACCATCAACTGCTTGATTGGCAGCTTGCTTGTTAGTCTCCACCACTTGTATCCCTCAGCCCCTAGTGCAGGGTCTGGGACATGATGTGTCTTTAAACCTCTCATCAATGAGGTGATGAGGGGCTGAGATGAAGACCTGGGACTTCACGTGGAACTCGGCCCTCTCCAGTTTCTCTCTCTGCTCCTGCAGTTTCTCTGGGTTTCTCTTGGTACACTTTAGCATACACTTCTGGCTCCCTCTTGCCCTAGACACTCCACACATGCTTCTTATTTCTTTTTTCTTTCCCACAAATCCCTTATTTCTTTTCATCCAGGTAACCCTTGCTTATCAGGTCAGCTTAGAAGTCCCTTTCTCTAGGAAATGTTTTCTTTCCAGCCCCAGGATGTGCTTCCCTCCCTCCTCTGCATAGTCAATACACATTCACATCTAACTAATTAAATACAAGGTCATGTGCACCACCTCCCTTTCCACCAAACTGCTGCTCCTGGACACCAGGAACCATGTCTGTCTCCCTCATCCCATCCCCAGCACTGGCACTGAGAAATCGATGTCGGTTCACTGACTGATGACTTCTCACACCAGCCTTGTACTGGTCTTTGCCACCAACAGAGCTCATTTCTGTGAACTGTACAAACTAAGAGCAATGAGAGTGTTTTCAGACACTTGGAAACCAGCACCCATTTGAATGAGTTTGCTAGGGGAGCCATAACAAATGTCACCAATGGGCGGCTTCAAGAACAGAAACGTTCTGGTTCGAAGTTCTAGAAGTGGGAGTCTTGAGATCAAGGAGTTCACAGGGTTGGTTCCTTCTGAGGGCTGTGAGGTGGGGTCTACTCCGGGCCTCTCTTTTAGCTTTTCCTGGTTTGCTGGCAATCTTTGGCACCCCTGGGCTAGGGGAAGCACCCTGTCCATCTCTGCCCACATCGTTACATGGCATTCTCCCTATGTGCATGTGTGCCTCTCTGTCCAAATATCCCAAGATCCCTTTTTCTAAGCACACCAGTCATATTGGATCAGAGGTCCCCCTGATAACCTCATCTTAACTTAATCATCTGCAAACACCCAAATTTCCAAATTAGTTCACTTTCATAGGTATCGAAGGTTAGGACTTTGATACCTTTTGGGGGAACGCAGTTCAACCTATAACACTACTCTTCTGGTAAAGAAAAAAGAGTAGCTTAAAATTGGCATTAAAATACAGTAACCATTTGATTTATTGTCCATGCAGGGACATTTTATTTTGAGAATGAAAGGGGGCCCTATTAATAATTTTCCAGGGACAATGGGCGTAAACCAGCCCCATCCCAGGCAGACAGGGTCTGATGTGTGGCCTCCCTCTGGGGCTAGGCTCACTGCCCAGGCTTTCCCATGCAAGGATGCATCGTACCTACACTTCAAATCCCTCTGTGTTTGTGTTCCCAGCAAGTTCAGTCTGTTTTATACACAGTCGCGGTGAGACCGAGGGATTAGCTGTATTCCAGTGATAGTTAATTCACTGTTTCCAGTTACCAAATGCAAGCCCAATCTCAGCAATTAATTTGACCAGATCAAATCAGGCCCTCTTACACCTGTTCCCCTGTTTTAATTAGGCTCTAATCTCCCCGGGGGAGTTGGAGGCACCGAGCACCATTACCTAAGCCTTAGATTAGGAAGGCAGTGTCAGATACCCCATGTCGCCATAAAGCACAGGCACCATCCCTGAAACAGGTCCCGCCCTTTGGTCTCAAAATTTGCCTTGACAACTGTGATCCCCCCAGCATGGCTGGGGGAACGATCCCTTTTTTTTTGTTACAGACTTCCTTTCATCTCCTCCCGAGGGAAGGCACTGTTCCCAGTGGTGCTTCTTTCTGAGGTAATTGTTGGACAGGAGTCAGCCAGTTAAGACTGCCCATCTAATTAACAGAGTCTGTTATGATTTATCAGGATAATGAGATGGGGAACAAAGACATCGATTTTTTTCCCCCCTTCCTGATATTTTGGCCTCTTTTCTTCCTTTTGGAAAATGACCCGACGTTAATGAGAAAGGAGTTGCTTATTGTTGGGGTGCAAATAGAGAGATAAATGACATCGGTAATTAAGTCTCAAGCCCTCTTTGGTATACAGAGTCATTTGTCAGGCAATATTATTCAATTAATTAATTCCATTAGGACTACCACATTTCTCTGACTCCAGCCATTCAACCATCAGTGATGATAAGTCACACGATACATAAATAGAATGGTTAGTAAATGCATCCTGAGTCCAGGAAGAAAGGATTTTAGCCACCCCAGGAAGCCTAGCTAGAAGCATTTGATTTGAAAACATGTAAAATGATCATACTTAGCCATGTACTTCTTCCCAACACATACGGAACGAATGCTCTGGGCATTCCTTACTTTGAATGCCTGGGAGGAGGAAGGGGGTCGTCAGCGTGGTCCAGATCATCTTCTTACACCAAATCAGTGGACACTGTCAAGGCCTCTGGTCAGCTGCCCATCTGTTGTCAGAGAAGGGACAAGGGACAGGAAATGTGATTGTCTCAAGGCAATACAATGAGAGAGAAGGTTCTCGAACCATGCGGTCGGGTGTTTTTTTCATATAAAACTAATCATTCACAGATATTTATCAAAATGAAAATTGGTTTACCAACAGTGGGCGGTCAGTTTTTGTCTGCTTCCTATCCTCTTTTGTCAAGGGGAGAATCATGACCCATCCATCTCTCACTGCTCACTACTCAAGGTAATTCTGTCTCTGTTGATGATCGAGTTAACAGAAAACATACCACATTCTCTTTAATCCCCTTACTCTTTCCACTCTCCTTCTCAACTCTTGCCGACTTTCTCAGAATTCTTTACACCCTCCTAGTGTGAAACTTGCCTTCAAAAAAAGAGGGGGGACAGTCCAGAACCACATTTAAGAAATTAGAACTAAAGGAATTAGTATCATGACATTCTAAAGAGAAAGGCCAGCAACTCCTTCAGTCTTGACAAATCCCCTTTTATACCTTGTCGTCTGCCTCCAAATCCACCTTTCCTTAACCCCCCAATGTGAGCCAAAATAAAATACTATCTCTGTGTTTCATTTATCACTTTCTTCTGCTTTGAGTGGTTGCTAATACTACGGGAGCATTGTGATCTGTTCTTTTTCATTGTGACACAGCAGTATTTCAGCTAGATTCAGGATTAAATATGCCCTGTGTGCTGGCGTGGGAACCTTTCTACCATTCCTAGGAAAACAGCTCACATTCCAAACAGCTGACTTCCAAAGTCCAGAATATGATCTGCTTATAAGCTGGGTAGCTGCCTACACAGTTCTAGCCTCTTTTCTCCTCCTGACTAATCAAGGCGTCTTTTGTTTCCTGAGCTCATTCTCTGGGAAGGAGTGTGAAATCCACATTGAAGGCCCCCAAAGCCCACAAACCCCGTGAGAAGGAAAAAGCCCAGGGAGGTGGTTTTCAAACTTAAGCCAGCATCAGAATCACCTGGAAGGCTCTCAGAACAGACTGTGGGAGATCTGGGGAGGGACCCAGAATTGGAATTTCTACCCCCACCCCCCACCCTGCCGCTAGTGGAAAATTTGCCTTCAGAAAAAGATGGTGTCGTCTAGCGATCACATTTTGAGAACCACTGGCCTAGACACTATAGGTACAAAAAGGCTACGGAGCAGGAGGGTAAGTAGATTCCACAATCCTGAGCATCTGACCAATAACCTGGCTGAGGCAAAGGCCACCCTTCCCTGGGAGGGATCAGGACAAAAGCCCTCCCTGGGTCTCCTCCACCTTTCCCTGTAGGCAGAGACCATGCCTAGAGTCAGGCCACTAATTTCCTCGGAAGAAGCCAGCATCACTTGCAGTTTTAGAATTAGATCCAGAAATAGTGCAGAAGACTCCCAAGATTGAGGATCTCTGAAAGTTGGTGAAAACATTTTGTCTCATTGTGTTCTCTGTTTCCCTTTAGATGTCATACATACTCACAGGTGTTGAACAGGCTTGACAAGGCCTGGGGATCTTCTACTGTTCTTCATGGTAGACTCAGACACCCACCAACCTGTTAGAGCAGAATGGGGACCTGACAATTTTCATTTGACATGCTGTGAGTCCAACAGACATCCGGCCCAGTGTTTCCCAAGCTTCTCTTTGAATGCCACTCACAGAGATATACAACCCACCCAATCCCTGAGCAATCCATATTCATATCTTAACTCTAGCACATTATTCTAGTGTCTAGCCTGGGTTCCTCGCAGAAAGCAGGGCTGGGGACAAGGGCTTTTGTACAGGAAGCTTATTTTGGAGAGTGATCCCAGCAAACAGGAATCAAGACAGGAGGGAGTGAAGCAAAGAAGGAAGGAGAGAAGGTGCCATGTGGTCCATCTCGTCTCCTTTGAGGACCCTTCTAAGAAGCTGTGTAGAAGGCACATTGGAATTTTCAGCCTGAGGGAAGACAAAGGAAAGCATTATCCCATGGACTTCCATTCCCTTTTGGAAGGTGGTCTTATGGGGCGTTGACTCTCTTACAACTTCTACATTGTACAGGCATGTTCAGGAGACCAGGAGACAGTCCCTGAGGAGCCCAAGGCTGAAAGAGAGACATATGGTGCAGCTGAAACAAGGCACAGTCTGGGTGCACCTGCCAGAAATGGCTGGCATCAAAGGTGGGCCAGGAGGTGAGAGACACGCACAGATGTCCAATACAGTGTATTATGAAAAGAAGAGACTGGGAGTAAAAGATATTTTCTATCTTCTCCACATACATTGTAAATTTCATGTTGGTATAATCTTTAATATTCAACATATTTTAAAATTTAATTGAATGTGAGGATTAACACAGAATTTCTGTAGTGTGTGTCTAAAACCCATAAACTTTACAAAGTGCCCACATGCCCTATTTCTAGAAAATTCTACCATTTTTTTTTAAGATTTTATTTATTCATTTGGCAGAGAGAGAGAGAGGGGGCACACAAGCAGGGGGAGCGGCAAACAGAGGGAAAAGCAGGCTCTCTGTTGAGCAAGGATCCCGATGTAGGACCCAACCCCAGAACTCCGGGATTATGACCTGAGCCAAAGGCAGATGCTTAACCAACAGAGCCACCTAAGCGTCCCAAATTCTACCATTTCTGTGCCCAAAAGTCACTAGGAAACAATGACAAGACAATAAATTTCATGGTGACAATTGCAAGGCCACCAGATATGAGAAGGAAGTCAATAAAAGAATTATTTTGTATTAGATGTTTGGTGCTTACATTAAAACACAGGTTGAAATTAATTAGGAAAATCGCCTTCATGACCTCATGTCTGAAATTCCTATATTTTGTGCTTAGAAAATCAACTTGCTGCTAGTTGTAATCACTTCTATGCAATCGCTGGTTCTTTATCAATGAAAACCAAAAGTAGATATAATTGTCACTGTCTTTTCTTTCTGTAATATTTAGTTTCTGAAGTCCAGGGGCATCTTCAGAGGGATAGATTTTGATGAGAAAAAGATTGTCTTCAGATAAAGAGAAGATTAGCATCAGGAAATTTACTGCATTAACAACATGAATTTCAGCATCTATGTTGCTAACGCTTCTAGTCTCTAACAAAGGATCCGCTCAAGATATGGACCAAAGAACATATGGCTAAGAAGAAGGGCCATTTGAAACTGTACGACAGGTTAGAAGCTTTGGGGGTTCACCTCAGTTAAACTAACTGAGGCCCAAATCTATGAGCATGCTCAGTTAGGCCACCATCCCTGTCACGCATGGGTACATGATACCCATTCAGGGGTTCTGGGATCATTCTGGGATGAGAGATAGAAACATTTAAATACTTTCTAAAAAACCTTTCTATCATTAAAATGTTGAAAAACATGCTAAAGTACAGAAACAAGAATAATGAGCCTTCAAATACTTCTCCAGCTCAGTTATCATGGCCAAACTTAAATTCGTTAAAAAAAATTTTTTTTTTTTAATCTAAACACGCATCATTTTTGCTCTTAAAGGCAAGAAACCTGGGAAGATTTTCATGACCCCCTGAGGTTTGTGACCTGCTGGTTCTTTGGTTCACTGACCTTGTTCAATCCTCTCTTTATACAAGGGAATGCTATGCTTCTCCCATTCTCTCTGGCTCTCTCTCATGCTTGCAGCAAATTAAGTGAACTCTGTCTATCATTTCAGCAATGGTGACATACAATCCCAGTGTTAAAGGATGGAATTTTCCAATGTAAGAAGCAGCAGAAAGCGAACAGAGGAAACGTTGCCATGAGCAAAGGCTCCTCAACACAGTATCTCCAACTGTGCTACAAACCAGCCCAGCGTTTGGATGAAAAGTGGGAAAAAAAAATCTGACAATGGAGTGATTGTTCTCCCTCCACAAGCAATGCTACTATTTCTAACCCCTCGATGGGCTGTGCTGGCACCAGACACACATCGTCTAGGTCTTCCTCCCAGTGGCGGGCAAGCCTAAAGGCAAAGGGGAAAGGTCCCGTTGTTTTCCAAGAGACCAAGAGCCACACACCAGGGCTGCAGCCACCAGAACCTTTCTTCACGGAGCAAGGGCAGGAAGATCAGAGCAGTCACTCACCTTGTCTCATTTGTTCACGAAGAACCCAAAGCCAGCGGCGTAGATCGGCTTCTTGCTTTTTGTCCAACTACTTGCCTACTACTCTAGAAAAACAACCCAGGTCTGCCAAGAATCCACAATCTCCTAAATCTTAAAATAATGACTAGCCTATCCAGAGTTTCCATCCAAGGCACTGTTGGTTCCTATACAAAAAAAACCCTCTGGGGTGAGAGTCGGGAGGCCAAGAAAGGCATGTGGTTATTTTTGCCACACTTTGGAAAGAATGGGAAGTCTATTTTTGACATCAGCTGTTCAGCTTTCAAATAACTTCGACCCGTAAATCATACCTCATTTAAAAATTGATTACCAATCTTACTTAACTTTCTGTCTTTTCGGTTTTGTACTATTTCAGGTGCGTGCACACACGCGCTCGTGAGCGTGCCCAACCACACACGTTCTCATGCCTACATTCTATTTCCTGGTCATGTGTGAGCTAAATAAAGTTTTGACATAGGTTCGAGAGTCAAGGCCCCCATTTTCATATGACAACCTCCATCTTTAAAAATAATAATAATAATAAACAGCAGCGATCAGGTGGGGAGTTGGCGGCTTGGTTCAGAGGACAGTGCTTCTAAGACTGACCACAGTGTTCAGTGCAATGAGCCATTAAAGAAGGAACTAATCGTTTAAGAGATAGAGGAGGGATATGGAATAGAGAGGGGCAAGGGGCAAGAAAAGGAATCACACAGTAGTTGTTGACTGTTGCCGCAGACGGGCGAGTCATTACCGGTCAAACCTGAGCTGAAGGCAGAGATCAGACACAATGTTCCCTGAGGACTTGCGAACCCTAATAAGGACGGCAATGTCACTGAGCACCAACCACTGCATTTGCTCACAGAAGTGGAAATGGCTTCTCCACGCGGGGGCCCCTTTCTTGAAGGAAAAGCCAAGAATACGCGTTTCATTGGTTTAAAGAGAAAAAGGTATGTATTTCATATAGTCATGAAAGCATTTGCAGTCCAGAGTTGAGCCAGTCTTTTAGTTACAAAACAGAGAGCCACACCGTGTGACCAAAATGATTCCTAACATGAAAGCATGACGTTGTTTTTGTTCTTACCTCATTTCAAAGGCAAAGAAAATTGCTGTTCTTTGAAGCCTGTGGTTTGTATTGTTCATCTAATGTGAAAGAAAATTACAAACAGAAGGCAGCTTCCCCTGCCTTCCTCACATCCGCATCATCAGACACGCACTCCTGGCAACTCCTGGAGTACTTGGTGGACAGTCCCTGTCTTCCTCCAGCCTCTGAGACAGGCGCCCCTCGCCCTCGTGGCCACCTCGCCCCACCACTGCAGCGCCCCCCACCCCCAAGACGTGACCTAGGAGCTTAATCAGTGCTGTTCACCGACTGAATGCATTTGGGGATTATAAGATTTTACTCCTACCTATCAAATTAACCTCTTTTTATGCAAATAGAAGAGATGGAAGTGGAAGAAAATAAGTCACAGTTCTAAGTTTAGCATCAAACTTCACTCCATGCGGCGAGAGTAATGCAAATATTAAACCAAAAGGAAACCGAGCTGGAATGCTGCAGGGAGACCAACTGTGCCAGTGTGGCTGGGACTGCCCGTCTCTGGACTGCCATTCCCACATCCCAGGAAACCCCTCCGTCCTGGGCAAACCTTGGCAGGCGATCACCCTGCAGGCCCTCAGTGACTCTCAGAGACCGAAAACGAAATGTCCACTCAGTTGGAAATCAGCAAGATTGGAGAGGACTTAGCATAAATTTTTGACACACCCTGGACCCTCCTCTCTGTGAGGCTCTATCCCTGCCCCATCGACTTCTTTCACTGCACTCAAAACCACATGATTACTTCTCTGGTTATTCATTTATCCTGTGTTCTCCGTACTCAGTGTGAGTGAGCTCCATGCGGTCAGGGAAATCATCGAGCTGGCTTCCCACCGTAGGCCCAGAACATTCCCCGGCAAACAGAGGATGTTCAAGAAACACGTCTTAGGTGCAGAACTCTCTCCCAGATCATGGAATCTGACAGAATTGTTGTATTCTACTGATTCCAAGATGCAGTTTTTTACAACGTAAACAGCTCTAGAATCCAGATGCATCCCAGCCAGCCGTGCCTTAGCCATTGGTCTAAGTGGTGGGGGTCATGACATCACTGCCTTTGCCTCTGTTTGTGTATCCATTTGGCTTCTCACATAGTCCTCACTTCGGTTGTGAGGCATGTGCATCTGTTAGTTCAACCCGAGAGCTTAACTGCCATTTAGAAATGTTCTCAAAAAAAAAAAAAAAAAAATCCACCGTGATTCAGCATTGAAATGACAAGCTATTTTGTACTCAGAAAGGCACAGAAGCCAAACAGTAGGATGTAAATGTGGTATTAGCAACGAATATTTGTCACAGAGGAATGATCATTAAGTCCATGTTTTCTTGCAAAGGAACAACCAAGTGCCTCAGAAACCTCAGAAAGGGAGAGACCAACAAGGACAGACAAGCTGTATTACTTTCTGTCATCGAGATATCTGTCTCATTGCTAAATTTCTCAGAAGACATGAAGATTAACTTCAAAAAACTCTGCTGTGATTGATTCCTAGGTCAGTCAGGACTGTTGTTAAAGGCACCCCTCAGTCTACTGACAGTGTTTTTCCCTTCTTATATAAAATAATGGTGGGTCTTACATCCAAGGGTATCTTAGACTTGACTTAATGAAATAAGGTAATAGCCTTTTCCAATCTTTTATTCAGGTCTGGAACAGCCCTGCCAGGGACCATCAAGGAGACTGCCGGTACATGACAGGGTCAGGAAAGTGTAGCCGCTCATTAGGTTTGTGCAACTCTTCCAGAACCTTCTGGTGATTGTTCTCACCGGCCCTTACTACTAGCTGGGCATGTGGAGGGCTCTCTGGTTCTAACACCAACTTTAGTTTTCGGGTACCCATCAATGTCCCAAGGGTGCCCTCTCATGCAGAGTGCCCTCCTGTGCTTGCCCACTTCTGCTTCTCACCCCGGACTCCTTGCTAAGCTTGAATGATGTCCATTGACAGAATCTCGTTATAGCCTCAGCATTGCACCTACCGAGTCCTGTCCTATAGGGCCTGAGAAATCTCAAACACTAATTGCAATGTGTACCTTGAGGACAGTTATCAACCATCTTTGGTGACAGCAAGCTGAATAATTCTGAGAAAGGATTTGTGTTCCCTCTATGGGATGAAAACAAGAGATGCTCAGGAACAGTGCGGGTATTACAACACCAGACAAAACTTAGTCAGTGGCCCAACCAGAAAAGTACAGTTAGAGGAGTTATCAGAGACAGTCCAACTCATAATTATGAACAGTGATCATACATTGGGTTAAACATTTTTCTAAAAGTCTCTAGAGTCTCTCAATATATTGTTATATGTTTGTCCTTAAGTAGTTTGTTCATTCATTTATTCTCTTTTATTAAAGACTTTATTGAGAGATGGAGGGAGAGCACAGAGGGAGAGTGAGAGGGAGAAGCAGACTCCCTGCTGAGCAGAGAACCCAAAGTGGGGCTCGATCCCAGGACCCTGAGATCAAAGGCAGAAGCTTAACTGACTGAGCTACCCAGGCGCCCTCATTTATTCTTCTATTAACCAGAAAAGTGAGTACCTGCCTTATGTTGGTCCACTCCTCTAGGCACAGGACATAGAAGAACAAACAAAAAAGACAATTCTATATAATGTATAGCATAGGATGGGTTTTTAACCTGGGGTCCACAGACTCTCTCCCCAGGTGGTGTGTGAACTTGGGTGAGGAAAAAAAACAAAACATTGTCTCCACTAACCTCTCACCCCTGGAAAAGACTGATTTGTCTGTCATTATAGTTTCAGTTTTTCAAAAAGTTCATATAAATGGAATTATGCAGTATATAGAATTTCCGAGATTGGTGTGTCTCACACAGCATAACCCTTTGGGATTCATCCAAGTTCCTGTGTGTCAATAGTTCATCCTTTTGATTGCTAAACAGCTGTATTCCACTGTAGGGATGCACCCCTGTTTACTTACACATTCTGCTACTGATAGATATTTGGATTATTTCTAGATATTGATGAGTATCAACAGAGCTGTTCTAAACATTCAGGTAGATTTTTGTGGAACCTAAGTTTTCAGTTCACTTGGGAAAATACACAGGAGTAGGACTGCCAGATCATAGGCAAGTCTTTGTTTGGCTGTATAAGAAACCACCAAGTGGTTTTCCAGAGGGACTGTGCCATTTGGCATTCCCACTGGGAATGTATGAATTCCAATTGCTCTGCATTGTCATGAGTGCTCAGTATGATCAGTATTTTTTTTTTTATTTTCAGTATCCTATTTTGCCATTCTGGGCATGTAGTTATATCTCATCAGGGTTCAACTTGTATTGCTTTTAATGGTCATTGATTTTGAACAGTTCTTCATGCGCTTATGTATGCTAGATATTTGCCAATATTTTGTTGAAAATTTTTGCAACTGTGTTCCTGGCGGGTATTGTTCTGTACTCTGCTTTTGTTGTACCATCTTTGTTTGGCTTCAGTATCAGGCTAATGCTGGCCTTATTATTTGAGAAGTGTTCCTCTTATATGAGAAGTGTTACCTCCCCTTCTATGTTCTGGAAAAGACTGTGTAGAATTTGTTGTATTTTTTCTGTAACTATTTGGTAGAATTTGCTAGTGTGAACCCTCACTAGCAGTATTTTGTAGAACCTGCTAGAATGATCTGAGCCTAGAGATTTCAGAAGATAGGCTTCTAACTACAAATTCATTTTTAAAAACAGTTATAGGGCTACTCAACTTACCTATATTTCATCTCAGGGGAATTTGGGTAGTTTGTGTTTTTTGCAGAATTCATCCATTTTATCTCAAGTGTTGACTTTATGAACAGAGTTTGTAGTGGTAACACATTTCTTATCCTTGATATTGGTTATTTGTGTTCTCTCTTTTCCTAGAATTCTCATTTGAGATTTATCAATTTCATTAATCTTCTCAAAGAACCAAGTTTTGGTTTCACTGCTTTTCTCTGTTGGTTTTGAAATTGTTTTCAATTTGATTAATTTGTGTTATTTCTATTATTCCTTTTCTTTTGCTTGTTTTGGGTTTACTTTGCTCTTCTTTTTCTAATTTCTTAAGATAGCATCTTGGATTATTGGTTTGATAGCTTTCCCATTCCAAATATGAGCATTTTAATTGTGTAAATTTTCCTTTAAGATCTGCTTTACCTGCATCCCATAAGTTTTGATATACATTTTC